GCAAGCACAGAGGTGGCTTAAGGTGTACTGGTGCCCTGGGCAATCACAAAATTGGAGGCCCTCTTCCCCTATGGGAGCTGGGCTTTGGGGGGAGGGGCCCCTTCCCTTCCTCTTCCCCCTCCCCCTCCTGGTGCTGGCAGGGGAGGTTGGGTGGACCCTGCTAGACTGGGGGGGAACATGCCTGCTTCTTTCACCTGCTCCCCGGCCCCACTACAGCCAAATGTACATACATGGCAGACAAGTTCTTTGGGTAAATCTGATATCTTTTATTAGACCAACTAAATAGTTGGAAACATTTTTCTAGTAAGCTTTTGGGTTTAAAAACCTTTGTTCAGGCTGAGGAAGCAGCTGCAGTTGGTGTGCTATTCCTGGATGGAACGAATAGTAAAGAAGCCAGAGGCTGGTCTGCATGCAAGCCAGTCAGTGAAAATGTAAATTGAGGAGTCAGTGGGTTTTGTGGAATCAACTGTTAAACTGCTTGTTACCCAAAGAGCAAGTTTTGTCCAGGACACTACAGACTTTCTATGAAAACTTAAAAACATAGACCACCTTCCCAGCAACACCCTCCTAGCCACCATGGATGTTACCAACTTATATACCAGCATCCCACACCAGGAGGGCATCCAAGCCTGCCTTACATACCTACAAGAGCAAGATGACAACTCCGAGAACAGACTCAAAGATATTACTGACCTTATCCTCACACAGTAATTTCACTTTTAATAGCCAACATTTCCTCCAGGCCATGGGCACAGCTATGGGCACCAAAATGTCCCCACAGTATGCCAACCTTTTTATGAGCCACCTGGAAGAAGAATTCCTTAAAGACTGCACCATCAAAGCCTTGCTATACTTAAGATATATTGATGACATCTTCATTGTTTAGACTGAAAACCTGCAATCTCTAATTGAGTTCCATCAGAAATTCAGCAATCATCGCTCCTCCATCCAACTGTCTCTTGAGTACTTCAGCACCAACATCTCCTTTTTTGACACAATGATCAGCATCCAGCGTGGTAAAATACAGACTGCATTATGCAAGAAACCCGCAGACCAACATACATATCTGCACAGAACCAGCAGTCACCCTAAACGCACCAAGAAACCTGTGATATACAGCCAAGCTCTCAGATCCCACTGAATTTGCACTGAGGAGATCTCCTGGGATTGCCACCTCGCAGATCTTAAAAAGGCTTTCACACAACTAGGACACTCCTTCAGAGAGAGAGATGCACATTTGAAAGAGCCACCTGGATACCACCTGAAGTTTTGCTGCAGTGCAGAAGGAAAGCCTCCACGAATCACACACTGCTGGTTATGACATATTACCCCTCCCTTGAACCTATATGGAAAATCCCCAAAGAGTTGCAACTCAGACTAGAAGGAGACCCAATTCTTAAAGAGATCTTCCCAGAAACACCCATCCTAGCCTTCAAACAAGCACCGAACCTCGCTAACCTCATCACCAGAAGCAATTCCCTCAGGCCCAGAACACACCAACTGGATCCAGACCATGCCATGAAAAGAAATGCAAAACCTGCCAACATATCTGCAGTACCCCCACAATTACTACACGCCACAACAGAGCCATCACCATTCCTGGATCTTACACCTGAACCTCCAGGAATATAATATATCTCATCCAATGCACCAAATGCCCTGATGGAAAATACACAGGAGAGACCAAGCAACTCACCAGAATGAACACGCACTGGAAATCTATCAAAGACAAGAATACCCAACTACGTGTGCGGGCACATTTCTCACAAGAAAACCACTCTGTCCAATCTCTCAGTATTAATCCTCAAAGGGAATTCACAAAACAGTTTTCACAGACAAGCCTATGAACTTCACTTCATCACCTCCTGGATAAAAAAAAACATGGACTGAACATAGAAGAAATACAAAATCTAGAACTCTTGGTTCCAAAGTAATAATACCTCCTCATTAGACCAGCTGGAAAATCACAAGAAAATTGTCCTTTTCTGCAAGATTTCAGGCTCAAAGGCCCTTCATCAGGCTCTGGAAAAAGTATTGATGTTAAAAAGTCCTCATAGGTAGGAATTAAACTTCATTTTTGTACAGGGGGAGCTGGAAATGAAAAGCTGTCCCTCTGGGTCCAGCTTTTTTATGATTTCCCATTTTGTCTAATAAAATGTACCATTTTGGAACCAAGAGTTCTAGATTTCTGTATTTCTTCTGGTCTCAGATCAACATGGCTACCAACATGGATGATACCTACCAGACTAAACATAGACATTGGATTTATGATGTATTATAACCTGCTTGACATCTGATTCACCAAATACCTCTCCACTTTTACCTGCTACATTCATTCTTCTTTCTCCCACATAGCCTGTGTCTCACCCACTGACTCCTCAGTTTGCATCTTTACTAACTGGCTTTCTTGCATGCAGATCAGCCTCTGGCTTATTTGCTCTTCCTAGATGGAATGAATAGTACACACCAACTCCAGATGCTTCCTCAGCTTGACAAAGGGTTTTTAAAACTTGCTAAGAAAAATGTTTCTAACTATTTAGTTGGTCTAATAAAAAAGTCTATCGGTCTCACCAGCCTCCCATGGCTCAATCTCACTCCCCCCCCTTACACTCATTTGCAGGGAGCAGGGAGTGTTGCGCTGTGTCTCTGTGGACAGGCAGCAGCCCTTGGTGGGGTAGCTCAGCTGCAGTGGGGCTAACATTACTTTTGGGGAGCTCTAGTGCTGCGGCACTTCTGGCCTAGCCAGCCTGGCCCTGACCCCCTTCCAGGTAAGGCAGGGCTCTCCCAGCCCAGCTTGGCCCCCTCCTCCCAGATGCCACGCCACCCAGCCCACAGGCACAGCAAGGCTCTTCAGGCAAGACCCCAGCCCTGCCCTACCCCTCAGCCCCATTGGTAGAGGGGCCCTGTTTCCAGCTGCCAGGGAAGCAAATGTGAAAGCTGCAGTTTTAAACTTGGCACTGAAAATGGGTGCCATGTTTAACACTGCAGCTTTCACTTCCCTGCTGGTGAGGATCCTGGGGCCCTGAATTGGAACCATTTTAGTTAAAGCCCCCCCCCACCGAATGCCTCCCATAACAAGTGTATAAATGCCCTTAGAGACCAATAAAATACAATAAAAACGTTGTTTGGAATTTACTAGGGCCTTCTTTGTTCTGGTTGTTGGTTGCTATGTTTAGAAAATCTGAATGTTCATCCCAGGACACACATCGGTTAGCTGCACTGGTGTAACAGCTTTAGTGTAAATGTGTACAAATATTCATCTTTTCAACTTGTTAAGTCCTTGTTTCCAGTTGGGGTAACTCTGAGCAACTCTTCAGAAAGGCACGCCTTGGGAGAACAAGGACCAGTGGGCACAAACTAATTGAGGAAAAATTCATGCTAGACATAAGGAAAAAGCTTCTTTTCTGTAAGTGTAACTAGAATCTGGAACACTCCCAGCAGAGGTGGTGCAGTCGCCATCCCTGAAGGTGTTCAAGAGGAGGCTGGACAAGCATCTCGTTGAGCTTGCTTGAGCCCAGTAACATCCTACCCCTGGCAGGGGAACGGACTCGATGATCTTACAAGTTCCTTCCAGTCCTTCTATTCTATGATGGGGGGGTATCCCATGTTACTTTTGTACTGCTGCCGCACCCTAAACATTTCAGGCTTGTTCCTGTGTGGTGAAATTACACAGCTGAAGGTAGCTGAAAGTTCCTGTATTCTACGTCGGGGTCAAACTCTAAAAATTATGATTCTTCTCGTGTTGCCCTTAACTCTTCTCTTTTGGATGTTAGCATAACTCTCAATTCCTGAAATATCTGTATGAACACAGTGGCTCTCTGGTATGATTTCAGTACAGTAAACTGATTAATTCACCTTTGGCATAATTGCCCTCTGTTGTAATTGGCCACTATTGTGTCTCCCTCCTATCTCCTTATCAACTACTGATGGCTACTGAATAATTCATCAGTATTTGTATTCCCCTCAGAGTGGTAAATTAACTGGAATTTACTCCCCTGTGCCTTTCTGCCAGGAGATGTACAGGAATTGAGTACAAGGGCTAGACCCCTGGTTCTGGGGCCTCTAGCCTTACAGTTCTGGCAAGGAGATTTG